TTTATAATTATTATACTTTCCCTATGTGTTACTAATTCAATAAATTTTACAGTAAACGAGCATTTTGATGAGACGGAACATGAATGATAGAAGCATTACATTTCACATCATCTTGATTTTGCTAATAATCTAAGCCAAATATAAGTTGATTATATTCTTTCTGAATGTTGATTCATTTTGATTCTAATGAAAGTGTGGCTTTCTACCTATTACGATGAACTTAAATTAATTTTCTAATTTTAGGACAAAGATAGCACAAAGTTATAGTGCCTACTTAAAAATGAAAGACAAGGTTTTATATCGACTACTAAAAAGCATTTAAGTAGGAATTATGATTGAGAACTACAAATACGTTTACAAGATATCTCAGCTTATTGTATTAACTTTATTTTTCAAAATTTCATAACTAATTATTTCTAAATAATTCGTATGATTGTTTGGAGGGAATTGTTTGCTATTATCAATTTTATCTTGAGACAGTGCATCGCGCGGGTACGAGTACTAGTATACAATTATACATGAAGCAAGTACCAAGATTGAGTTGTAAGAGTATTTCCCAGTTATTTAGCAGAATTCAAGGTTAGTAGTCTACAAATTTACAGCAGAGAACCAACTTACAACAACGTATTAACGCGCCACTTATGCTCATTTGGGTTTGTGGTTGCTAGTTCTCGTCATCACTAAGAATAATCACACTTCGTTTAGTGGACGAAGACTCCCGTGCAAGATGCTTCTTGAGAACTGTATTGGAAGAGGTCATAATATTTTTACCAACAGTAGCATGCTGTGAAATTTTTGGGAATAAAACTTCGATCTTACCATTAATAATTCCTTTTGATTGTGGCCGATGACTCGATCCATCTGCCTCAACCCACGAACCAGATACCCGATTCACATTATTTGTTCTAGCACTTGGACCAACTGAAGGAATTGACACTTCTTTCCTATCCAATGACTGTCCGGACTCTGATTTCACCTTCATTTCATCCTTGCTGAAATCTTTAGAGACGTCGGACACAGGCAATCCAAGTTTTTCTTTTGCCCACTTACGAACTGCGCTTACCTTCCCATCCAAAGCTTCAACCATGATGTTCAACTCGTCTATTTCATAGCGTATAAGCAAATACTTCTCACTCCATGCACAAGGACATAGCTGCTTGGCATGAAGAAGACAAGCATATTTATGTGGAGAACATTTACAGCCAATGGCGGAAAGGTATAGATCATAGTAGCATATAGGGCACTCCCTTTTGGTGGTCGCACAAAAGTCATCCTCCATCTTTCGCAATTCAAGAGAAGCACATAGATATGTGCGTCTTCTCATTTCAGTGGAAACCCGTGACTATAAAAAAAAATAGAAATAACCCAGAATTACTTCCAATAGAAATGAAACGATATATCATTTTCTACATGAATATATTTCTAGACAACATACTAGTCAGTAATGATTGCTCACACACTTGAAACAGAAGCTAAGTCTCAACCTCCGGAACAAGGAAATTGAGCTGCTCACGGAACATATACCAAAAAGGGAGAACTACAAAAGAGCCGGGTTAAATTTTCCTAGAAATATCAGAAGCATGACTTAATGTTGAACGTGCCTTTGAAATGCTTGACCAAAAGGTCAGATGTCTGCAAGACATCTTTTACCTTGATAAAAATGAGTTCTAAGGACTAAAGAGGGAAAAACAGTCGCAGATGATACCAAAATCAGAAACACAATGTAACAAGGAAAGGAAGAAACGACAATGTCTTTATTCATAGAATAGGCATAATTACATTTTTGGGCCGCCATAAAATATAATAGCCGGCAAATGTATATGTTTTGTATATTAAGTATAAATATACATATAATATACAAAAATATTACATATTACATACATAACCAGTGATATATTTGGGCTAGCGCCCGTAATTATTATTGGCAGACGGGACAAAAATGGAAAAGGCCCTAAAGAATAAGCAGAAAGCCTGTTAAAATTGAAGTTCAAGATTTTAGAAGGGCTCCTTATATAAATAGTGAAGCCATGAGTAATAGAGGGCTTACCTTAAGTGCTTTTGTCAAAATGCCATTGTTCCGACAAACTGCTCTCCATTTTAGATTATCAAAAAATTTCTTGTTTAGCAGCGAAAGTTCCGCTAAAGCCCTAATTCCTTCTGTGGCTGCTTCAAACAACAGCTTATCATAGGAGATTGATGTCTTTCTGCCCTGCTCAGAATACAGTTCTACAGCACTCTGGCCGTATGGTAACCAGTCAAAGGGAGCAAAATTTACTGCTTCGGAACAATTAAAGCCGCTATCAACATGTGCATGGTATGCTCCAGGGAGAATGAGAACAAACTCCTTTGGATTTTGCACACAACGATAAACAGGTATTCCCTCTGAAGTCAATATAGAAGGAGAAAACTGAAAGGCCTGCATTTTGGATATGAAGATTGATTGATCAAATGGGAGGTAATAAACAAACCTTTCATATATGATAGTTCATCTCTTCTGAAACGAAAAAGAAATTTTAGACAGTCCTTATCAAACTTAAACCATATACTCCCTCTGTCTCAATTTATGTGGCACTTTTTCCTTTTTCCTTTCCGTCTCAGTCCTAAAAAGGATGTCACTTTTCCTAATTTAGAAACATTTTATCTTTAGAATTCCTACTTTACCCTTAGTGAATTGATTTAAAGGCACACAAATATTAATGGTTTGTTTCAGACCATAAAAACAATCTTACTTTCTTTATTAAACTCCGTGCCGAGTTAAACGGGACCACATAAATTAAGATGGAGAGAATAAATGATTAATAACACCATAAAAAGATTCAGGGAATACATGTCACTAAATAGAACGCTAAGAAGGATGAGTCTTGTTAGAAACATGCACATTATGCACTAACCAAAATATGTCCTTAAGGTTGAAAATCTCAAAATAATATGTTCAACGTCTTCTGGATAACTTTTGATTAACCAAAGACTACTGGCCCACACATACTCATTCAAACCCACAAAAAAGAAGAGAAATCAAAGCAGCCAAAGTCATCATGCTTGCAATACAAATTACCAAGAGGATTATTATTCCATAATTGCACCAAATACTTCCCATATTTTTTTTTGAAAAGGTAAAGAAATACTTCCTCATTCTTTAATAGAGGTCTTCACTTTTATTTTTTCCTGGCAATAGAAAAAAGAGAGGGCAGTTTATTGGTAAAATTGAAAAAGGAACCAGGTCAACATACATCCCTTTCTTTCTAACAAGCCATTCCTTCTCAAAATAATGAAAAATAATTTCACGGATTTGAAACTCACAATGTTTTGAAGCAAACAAGGATGTGCTGACAACTGCGGCAGATGCTTCTTGACAGCTTCCTCAAACTTGCAACGATAACTCCCGGGAACCCCATAAAATATTTTCGGTGCACCAAAATGTATGTAAGATAGCAAATACAAGTGGTGCTCTTCAATTCTCTATTGCAAGATGGAAAAAAACAGAAAATATTGGCAATTAATCAACATAATAAAATAGGTAATGCTAACAAATAGACCAATGCTCATTAATACTTTCGGCTTCCAAGAGATACCGCCCAAGAACGATGATGCCCCTTACCAAAAAACAAAGATGAGATAAAATATGCCCAAGAATAATTTGGATTATAAGAATAAAAGTCATTGCTTAATTAAAAAACTCTAAATCTTACCCATAGATATGATGAGAAACACATTCCAATGGAGAGCCGAGGAAGCAAAATAGAGGAACTCTCACGACTTCCAAAACGGAGAAGAGAATCTTGAAGCATAGGGGTATTATTCAAGTTCCAACCTGATTCTACATATTGTGGACGACGACGACTAGTTACATCCCGTTCATGTAGGAAACCCCTTTCAGTTGCTTTAATTTCTGCACTAGTTCCCTGGAGAACCTACAAACCAAATTGACAACGAAAAGTAGGAAAAAATGATTAAGGGAAAAGAGATTGACAGATCCCTAGAAAAGATAATTGCAGTTCCAGAGAAAAACCTCAATTTCTTCGGTTGGATTCTCAATAATCCTCCAGTATTCCCCTTCGATATCCTGAATTGACGGTTCTAACGCCGTAGTCTGATCTGCCTTGACAAAGTACTGCTTCTTGAAATGATCAGCGTAATGCTTGAAATATTTCAGCATTAGCTTTGGCCCATTTTCAAATTCAAAGTGTTCATTACAGCAGCCAAATTCTTTACGTTCAATGTCGTGTCCAAAATCTGACTTCCTACTTAGGGTTTTCTGCTGTTTATTATTCGTCCTTGTACAGGCTCCCTCAAGCCTTTTCCTGAAAAGCAGATTCTGGAGGTCACTAGTGCGCTGGATATGGGTGTTGACTCCATATACTGTGCTCTCTTCTTCAATGCGGCTAGGTGGTTTCCAGGACGAGGGAGGAACGATACGGCATATTCCATAGTGCTTGACATGTGGAAGGATGCTCGCTACATACTTCAGAGTATCTTCAAATTCCTAAAATAAGATTTAACGTCATGAAAGAAGAGTCTGTCAAGAAATTAAGATGCAATAGAGGGCATATACGACTAGAGGCGGATCTGGGATTTTAACTTGATGGGTTCAATCTTCATGTTTTTACCATTGAACTCATTACAAAACTAAAATTAAGGGTTCAAAATATTGTATTTATAGAATTTTGGTGAAATTTTACATATATAACTAAATCCCGTATAAGTTACTGGGTTCAGTTGAACCCGTAGTTGGGTAGCTGCATCTTCCCCTGGCATATACCAGGCTGAAAGTGAGATGGGACTGTCAAGGAATACCTCTTCACTAGGATGGAATACAGGAGCCTCTTCAAGTGAAGGTATGCGTGCCAATTCTGGACGACATCTTGCAATAACCTTTGAAAAAGCACACCAGAAACATCATAAGCTCAATGGAAATAATAAAAAATACGATCCAAATTAACATTTGGGTAGAGAACATACAATCCTTGCCTTGAAACCAAACATTATACAATATTAAGGAAGAATGAACCTTCTGGCAGTTGTGGCAGCTGGAACATCCTCGGATCACTCCTTTGGGAAGAAAAGCACTTGAAGACAAATTCTGCAAAAATAAATCAAAACCCAGAACACCAAACCACTATTTCAGCAGCACTACATGCCAACAATTACAGTCTATATTGCTCGGACTCGGGTGCGCGTATCCGATCCGGGTGTTAATCTAGAGGTTGGATGCTTCATCACATAAGTTTACGATTTGAGGGTATGGACCCGAATGATACGGGTGCTCGGCTACAACCAGTACATGTATATCACGAATTATAAAGTATATATTTCGATTAGTTAATCACCAATATTTTATTCATAACATATCTCGCGTAATAGAAAAACATTCTCTACTCTCTCTCTCCCCCCCTCTCTCTCTCTCTCTCTCTCTCTCTCTCACTCTCACATCTATGTAGCACGGACTCTTCAAAATCCTCGCCACCCCCGTAGCGACACAACATGGGTGTGGCTGTGGCTATGGGATCTATACCGGATTTGGTCAACTTACCTTGGGTACTTTGTACATTCTATGACAGAGAAGTATAGATTAATTGGGTTATAGAATGTAGTCAAAGTACCCAAATAATCTATACTTCTTTGTCATAGAATGTAGTCAAAGTACCCAAGGTAAGTTGACCAAATCCAGTATAGATCCCACAGCCACAGCCACACCCACACCCACACCCACACCCATGTTGTGTCGATACGGGTGTGGCGAGGATTTTGAAGAGTCCGTGCTACATAGATTAGAATACATAAGCCCTTAACCTTTATCCAAGTGATGCCCGAGACAATCAAATGAAGAAGAGAATACAAGAGGAAAAGAAGATTATCCTTGACCAGTAATCAAACCAACCTTGCCAGGATATATATTTTTATAAAGCCCATTGACACAGTTAGAGTGTCACACATTGATTGGGGAAATTGGTTGTCCCCTTATATGGTCTCGGACAATACTCACCTAATGAGCTAACTTTTGAGGTTGAGTTAGGTTCAAAGTTCAATTTTCTTAACATGGTATTGGAGTCGGACTCATCTTGTTGTTGTATTTCCCAATATTGGGCCCCATATTATGTTGTCCACGCTCCAAATAACCAGGTTGGGCACAAACGGGAATGTTACTATGCCACATAGGTTGAGGAAATGGGTTGTCTCGTTGGTGTTGGATGATTTTCATCACATTAACTTGCCTTTTGAGATTGAGTTAGGCCCAAAGTCCATTTTCTCCACGGATACATCATTCCTATTGCAAACCACCTGTCAGTTAACACAATGTTCTTCTTGTTCAAAAACACAAGGATGCTTATGGTCAACAGGAATAACCCTCAGCAGCCAGTATAGCATAAAATAGTGTCCCTAGATGCATCTCTCACCAGAGTCCAGATATGTTTATCTCATCCTCTCCAACCAGAGGCACCAGCTATGGTCCTCGCTCTTCTTTTCCTGCCTTTACAATAAGAACCGCAAGGGGAAAATCTAGCGAGACCTTTTCTTTTACAGCAATATAGATATTAAAAAGCTACACATAGTCAATACAGTTTGATTAATTAACACTCCCTCCATCGCACCATTTGACTTGACACAGAGATTAAAAAAGAAAAGAAGATTTTGAATTTTGTGGTATAAAACAAGCCTTAAACATTTGTGTGGCTAGAAATCATCTCATTAAGGATAAATAGGAATTTTAAAGTTAAATTATTTCTAAATATAGAAAGGTGTCTTTCTTTTTGGGACAGGCTAAAGAGGAAAGGGTGTCACATGCATTTAGGACAGCCGGATCTATGGTTAATTTTTCGATACTGGAGATGGAAATAAAAAGTATATTCATGAGAAATTTTATGAAAATCTTACTAAATGACCTTATCATCTTCAAATTCAGAATCGTCTTCAATGTGATCAACATGATCATCAAGAATCCAAGGCCTATGCCTAACGGAACTCTTAAGCTTTCCTGTGCTAATAATTGTTGAAGTAGCAGCAACCTGGCTAGAACCTTGCGCAAACTCACTCCCAAGAGCCACAGAATTACAGGCTTCTTCACTATTTTTCACCTTCTTTAGTGTGAATGACATTAGCGATTCAAAACCAGGTGGAACTGACAACTTGTAACCATCGTCACTTTCACCATTCGATCTTGTGCGCTTGGCCCCCATTAGCACTGAAACAAAAGAGAAAGTATTAGTGGACACGGAATGTTGCATGGACATATTTTGCCTTTTAACACTAAGGAAGAAAATAACCAAATATAGGCATACTTCATCAATGTCCATATAAGTAGTACCTCTTACCTTCACCTTTATATCTCTGTCAAGTACAATCAGACATCCATCAGTTAAAACTTCAGAACTGAGATCTGCAACAAGAGAGCACAAATAAGTAGGTAAATACTAGCCATTAGCCAAATATGACATTCCAACAACAACAAATAACCCAGTGTAATCCCACAAAGTAGGGTCTGGGGGTAGAGTGTACACAGACCTTAGCCAAATATGACATTATAAGATTAAATCATCTGTATAAGATACAAAAGACTAAGTAACCGAAAATGAACTTGGTTGTGACTGTATTGTAAGGTCAATAAAAGTGGGTGTAGTACATTCTAACCAAATTCTTCATAAACATGTTTTTTCGTATGTAAGGTCAACAATAGGCACAAATTTATACATATCCAAATCCAAGGGCAAGTGCAGGGCTGTTTAACGTAAATGGTTGGACACTCTCTTCGTATAACATCTTAGCTTGGTCAATCTATCAAACACTCCTAGCAAGTTCCAATCGAATGGGATAACAAAGATAGAATATTTACGATGGATCAAATAGAAAATCACTCGTGGTTATAAAAAGCCCTCTATCTCCTAGCAAATGCAATTTACAGACCCGACATCTCTTTCCTTCAATAATGCCTTCACTTCAAGAAACTATTTTCCTTTTCTCAAAAAAATAATCAATCAATCAACTACATCTTAATCCTAGTCAAATTAAAGTCAGCTATATGAATCCTGTGTATCGTTTTTGCTCTATTCGGGTCCATTTCATTCTTGGATACTAAATTCCCAAAAAGAACAAGTCTCTGAAAGTATCAAAACTAGCACAAACCCAATTCATATTTCAGCACCATGACAAAGATCAAATAGAAATACACACATATCCACACATCTATTGTTTATACGTGAAAAATCGAACCTTGAATCAAATATTGCAACTGTAAGTAAGACATGTATGAAGCAGTATAAGAATGAAAATATGCTGAAGTACCTACAAATTAGACGCAAAAGGTGATGGTAGTTTTGCAGTTACAGGGTCATAAGATTCTAATTAAAGTCAGCTATATGGATCCTATGTATCCATTTTGCTCGATTCGGGTAATTTCATTATCCATTACTCCCTTTGTCCCCATTTGTGTGGCACACTTTTCTCTGTCCAAAAAAGAATGATACATTTCTATAATTAAAAATAATTCAACTTTAAACTTCACAATCTACCCTTAATGAGATGATTTATAGTCACACAAATAACTATAACTTGTTTTAGACCACAAGTTTCTAAAGTTTTTCTATCTTTCTTAAGCTTCGCGACTAGTCAAACACCGCTACATAAATTGTGACAAGGAGTACTAAGTTCCCAAAAAGAAACAACCCCGTCTCATATTCCAGCACCATGACAAAGGAGAGATAGAAATACACACACATATCACACGTCTACTGTGTGACAAATTAAATCTTGAACCAAAACTTGCAACTGTAACTAAAAACATTGACATTCTAAGAATTTAAATTTAACCTTCTCATTTTACTGCAAATATCTATAACTTAATTCAAAATCCACCTTTCTTTCTTAAACTTCGTGTCATGTCAAACACTACCACATAAAATTGGCCGGAAAGAGTACTAAGCAATTGTAACTAAAAACATCAACATTCTAAAAATGTAATTCTAGGCTTCTCATTTTACCGCAAATATCTATAACTTGTTGTAGACCACAAGTTTCAAAATCCCCCTTTCTTTCTTAAGCTTAGTGCCCTGTCAAACATAGCCACATAAAATTGGACGGAAAGAGTACTAAGCAATTGTAACTAAAAACATCAACATTCTAAAAATGTAATTCTAAACTTCTCATTTTACCGCAAATATCTATAACTTGTTGTAGACCACAAGTTTCAAAAGTCACCTTTCTTTCTTAAGCTTAGAGCCCTGTCAAACATAGCCACATAAAATTGGACGGAAAGAGTACTAAATTCCCAACAAATAAATTAACAATCCCATTTACCATTTCAGCGCAATTACAGAGAACAAATAGAAATACACACATATCACACATCTATTGTGTGGAAAATTGAAACTTGAACCAAAACTTGCAACTGTAACTAAAAACATTGACATTCTAAGAATTTAAATTTAACCTTCTCATTTTACTGCAAATAATCTTTAACTTAATTCAAAATCCACCTTTCTTTCTTAAACTTCGTGTCATGTCAAACACTACCACATAAAATTGCCTAGGAAAAGAGTACTAAGCAATTGTAACTAAAACATCAACATTCTAAAATGTAATTCTAGGCTTCTCAGCAAATATCTATAACTTGTTGTAGAACCACAAGTTTCAAAATCCCCTTTCTTTCTTAAGCTTAGTGCCCTGTACAACATAGCCAACATAAAATTGGACGGAAAGAGTACTAAATTCCCAACAAATAAATTAACAATCCCATTTACCATTTCAGTGCAATTACAAAGAACAAATAGAAATACACACATATCACACATCTATTGTGTGGAAAATTGAAACTTGAACCAAAACTTGCAACTGTAACTAAAAACATAGACATTGTAATAATTTAATTCTAAACTATAGACCACAAATTTCAAAAACCGCCTTTCTTTTGTAAGCTTAGTGCCTTGTCAAACATCGCCGCATAAAATTGGATGGAAAGAGTACTAAATACCCAAAAACCAAAAAATCCTATTTCACAATTCAGCACGATTAGAAAGAACATATAGGAATACACACATATCACACATCTATTGTGTGAAAAGTTGAAACTTGTAACTGTAACTACTATAAGACATCAACAAAGCAGTATGAAAATGAGAATACGCTGCAAATACCTAGAAATTAGACGGTTTTGCATCAAAAGATTCTCCCAATTTCTTTTATTTGACTGGAAAAGAGTGTGTTAGCAGAAAAAAAAATTGGGTTGAAAATGGAGAAAAAATGTTTAAAATTTTAGATCCGTGATTTTCAATTTCAGTCCTCAATATAAAGTTAAGTTTTGAGGATTACACTTTAAAAACTAGGCCCTATGATCTATAATAACCAGGGCGGCTTTCTGATGCAAAATTGTGAATATTTATTTTATAATCAATTTCTTCTAATAGTTATTTAAATAACTCCTTCTAAATTTTTAGTTTGCAATCGAGGACGACCCGAGATAACTGTTATAGGAACTGTTACCATTATTCTATATGAAATATAAGCATTTGAAAAAGAATCAAGTTTTTTCATTAGATTGAGTATATCAATTAGAGTACTATCATTTCTTCTTTTTGGGATTGTATCAAAGATTCAATTTTTTTCCCCTTAAGTTTTGAATAACCGAATTCATACTTTATATTTGGCATATTTAAATTTGAATAAATACTAAAAGGATAATATATGCGTACGTATTGAAAATATCAAGAAAAATAAACGTAGATGAAAACTAGTACTAAAAAGTTGGAATAGAAGAACCTCATTCATTAATTTGATGTGAAAATAAACATTTGTTGCTTTCAATATACTTCTGGTAGGCTTTAGCTTGATTGACGAAAAATACAGAACAATATGATCTCTTGGAGGCACAAAGAAAAAATATAATAGTAGTAACGTTTGGTGAGAACAGGAAAAGATTAAGAAAGGAAATTGAATATTGTGCAAACCAAGAAAGAAAGTGGAAAAGGTTTACGTAATATTTAATGAGAAAAAGACTAAAGAAAAAAAGAACAATCACTTGATTCCTTTCATAAATTTTGCATTTATACGTTAGGAGCCCATTTTTAAGAAACAAAAATATCTTCTTTTTTTTTATTTTTTACCAAAATATATAATAAGAGTAAAAATACTTAATTAAAAAAAATACAGGGTAAAAAATGGGCCCCCTAAAATTGGGGGCCTAAAGCTTGGGCTTTAGAGGCTTTACCCAAAAGCCGCCCTGTCTATAGCTCACTTGACTCACGTCGTCACGAGTTCGAGCCGTAAAATCTACCTACACTTTTCTTCTGATCCCGAATTAATACGGGATATTTTGGGGTGAAATTTAAAAATAGCCGAACAGTGGTAATTGAAAAATAACCAAATTTTTAAAAGTAATTGAAATTTAGTCATTTTTCATGTAAAGATAAATCTGAACGAAAATACTGTTCAAAATCCGAAAAATATTCCAACATAATATACTGGAGTTCTAACAGTGCTCCAATCTCTAGTAAATTATGCTAAAACTTTCCATGCGTTGGAGTTCCAGCATAATATGCTGGAAGTTCATACACAGGTGCACCAATCTCCAGTATATTATGCTGGAACTTTCCGTATTGCAGCAAAATAGTGGCTATTTTTCAATAACTTTGCAAACGCTGGCTATTTTTCAATTACCAGTCCGAAAACTGGCTATCTCGTGCTATTTTCACGATATTTTGTATACAGTGCTACCTTTTACACTTTAAAAATGTAGAAATGACACCAGGTAGCCACTCTAAGGGGTGTTATTTAAGAATTACCCAGTGCGTCATGAATTTCAGTTTTTCCGTTCTAATTTTCAGGACAAAAATATTCTAAATTATCTTAAAGTTAACATTTTTAGTTTAAAAATTTAAGACAAAATAAGTATTGGCTATTCTCTAAATAGCATCCCTGTGAATGGCTAGCTGTGCACTTGCCCCTTAAAAAATAAGAGATTCGCACAAAAGTATAGCCCAAAATAATATATTGCACCTAGTAGCCATATTTTTAAGTTTACAGTTGCAAATCCCATATTTTTTTGTAACATTGTTTGTATACTCGATATACGATATTATATACTAATTATAATACTGTACATAAAAGATATTAAGTTTCGCCTCCTACGAAGTACAATTAACGAAAAAATCATCAAATAGCTCAAATTTTCGCCAAATAGCTTTAGATTTTAACCATAAGTACAAAATGACATCCAACGAACATCAATCATCAATCCAAAATTTCAATATATTGCAAAACTCATTTATATGTTTTCAAGCTTAAAAGAACCCCAACGATCGAGTTTTAAAATTTTCACTTTAATTCATCTAACATTATTTAAATATTTGATGATAAACATCATCACATATCAAAAAAGGAAAGAAGATAATAATGCCACTCTCTACTAATGCCAAAAAGTAATGGGTCTTTATGTCCATTTACAATGCTGAAATTAAAAAAATGTCTTTGACATGTGTATGTAATATACTATGATATTGCGTTAAGCTTATGAAGTGCGTCAGTAAGACAGGAGCAAGTACTACACCACGGAGGGTTGTGGTATGATAAATCTCCGCCCTTAGTTAGAGGGTGTCAATGGATATTTAAACCCGACTAAACCGACCGAACCATACTATATCGAACTGATTTTTAGGTTTATTTTTCTTAATAAAGTTGTAGGGTTTTATATACATCTATTACCGTACCAATAATTAGGGTGGGTTTTTTATTTTATGAAAGTAAATCGAAAAAAAATCGAACCGTACCTAATAAATTCACATGTAAAAAGATATATTTATATATTAAGTTTAAAAATAATAAAGCATTTTAAACTCAAAATCCTAATTCCCAAACCTGTTGTGTTACTCCTATTGAAACTAAATTATTTCCACCATATTCACTAGCAAGACACACAAGGTATTCTAGAGATTATGAGTAGCAAACTATAATGTATTGAATATGTTTCTGTTTACCCTCAAAATCGGATAACAATTGAATTTGTAAGTGGTTTTAAGGATACGTGGATTAAATTGATACAAAGCAATAAATTAAATTGCAATTGAAATAAAGTATGATAAAGTAAATTCAAACCACACGAATTGAACAGTTACAGCCTTGGGGGTGAGCCACCCTTGAACAGAATGTGCTTCGATCAGTGTCAAGACACCGCTGAATAAGAACTTAAAGAGAATATAACAGTATATTGCTTCTGAATGATTGTTACAATGTGCTTTACAAGTAATCAAACCCCCTTTATATAGTAGGGGAGTCTTGCTTTAGGTACAATTCTATAAAAGGTAAAAATCTCCTGATTTGCTGATTTGCGGGTTCCTTATTGATACGTGCCGAGATTCCCGCCGTAATACCCGACCGGTTACGGGTATTTCGGCCTTCTGTTATTTCGGTCTTCTGTTGGCTATACTGATAATGTTTCCTCGAGCTCGTTCGTCGTCAGGGTCGATTCCGGGATCATGGACTCAATGTTCTCGAGGATGGGCATTCTGACCTCGTGTTGTGGTTCGATGGATTTCGGGGTTGATCTTCAATCCCTCAGGTTCTGAGCCCGATCTGTCATGTAGTAGACGAGCCCGGGCTAGCAGAGCCCCGTTCTCCAGCATCAATAAAGATCGGTATCGAGGCTGGCTAGGCCATTTTGTCCGAGTGAGGACCTCGGACCTGATCCTAATAGAGTGCATGCCATTCCCCGAGAAGTGGAACACAAAACGTAAGTAAAATTTCTTTTTTCCAATATTTTATTTTACTCTCCTTTCCTTCTTTCTTATCGGTGCTTGGTGGTGGTGCAGCTGTTGCTCGGGTCCCAAATGCAATCCCTCGACTCAAGGAGTGGGTCGAGGGCATTGTGTCAGAAAAACCATACTCTGAACGCACATGGCGCGAACTTTCGAAGAGTCGGTGGGAGGCCCGTTCTCATAGTGAGATTCCTTTCCTGAGTGAGTAATACTTGGGTTTTTTTTGTGTTGCTGGGGTCTTATCTGTTCCGTTCCCCTTTGCAGGTTTATCCAAGGATGTCACGATGAGGCCTCCATCCGGTGACGAGGATGTCCCCGCCGAGTCCCCTATTCCGAGACAGGGTGATGAAAAAAAAGAGAAAAAGGGCTTCGAGTTCTCCAAGCTCAAAGAAGAAGAAAACAAAACGAAGGCCAGTGCACAAGCCTAAAGAAAATACCAGCGCTCGGGTGCCCTCATCGGACTCACTCCACTTGCTGAAGGATGAGTCAGAATAAGAAGAAGAAGCCTCTGAACCGGTGGCCCGCGTGCGGTCGCAGTTTGAGGGACAAGGGGCCTCCGAACCAAAGAGAGGCGAGGCTGATCTGCCTCAAATCAGGGAGGCCGAAGAGGAGGCCATGGCCGAGGCTTCCAAACCAAAGAAGGGCAAGACCGTTTTGGCTCAAGTTAGGGAGGTCGATGAGGAAGTCGTGGCCGGTGCTTCCTGGGCAGTGGGCAATGCCCCGAAGGACGCACTCAGGTTGATAGACTTCTCTGAGTCGCCTTCATTCACTAAGTCCATGTTTAACGAGGCTCAGACTGTGAAACCTCGTTCTAACGAGGGGGCCCATGGAGCAGACGACCGTTTCCGCAGCTTTTTTGATGGCGTGGATTCTACCGCCACGGAGGACTGATAAGTGAGAATTTTGACTACTTATTAGTGCCTTTTAGCTTTCGTTTTAGTCCAAAAGTGCTTAATTGTATTCCCTAAAACTGATGAAATGTGCTTTAATGCAAGAGTATTGGAAAATGAGCCACAAAGATGAAATCTAACTCAAAAACGAGTAACGTGAACTCAAGGACAAAAAACAGGCCAAGGGGCTAATGTGCGGACCGCAGATTCCTTTTGCAGCCGTAGAATGCAAAGGAAATCCCACAGAGCCCAAGAGTAATGTGCGGCCGCAGAAGCTATGCTAGAGTTCAAGTTAAGACAAGTCCTAGTTCAAGCCTCAAGGACATGCGGACCGCACAATTATTGTGCGGCCGCAGAATTCAGCCACGCAGTAGCACTCAGATTTGTGAAGTCCGTAGAAAGGGCCTATGCAGCCGCACCAGGAAATGTGCGGACTGCAGAACACTCCAGATGCGGCTGCATCCCAGAATTATGTGGTTGCAGACCAAGCTCCTGTCAAGACTGAAGAAGAAGTGCGGACTGATCGCGGCATACTCCGCACTACTAATTAAGTAGCAAGAGAGGGTTGGAGCAGCTTTTACCCGATTTTGGGTCGGGATCGGTATCCACAGAGAGCTAGAATTGGAATCGAGTATCTATCTAGTTTAGGATTGCGTATGTGTTCCAAATTACACTTCTAATCATTTTTGGGGTTTTTTGTTTACTTCTACAATTATCAAACTAC